TGTTCAAGCTCGTACCCTAAAAGGCCCTACATCACCTCCTCCAACTTCTCTTCACATCACTTTTCCAGAGCCCACTGAGATACAGTCTTCTCTCAGTTTCTTGAGATACTAAGCTTCTTGCTTCAAGACCCTTTGCCTAGAGACCTCTTTTGATACTATGCCTTTGCCAACTTCTGGCTCTGGCTCTTTCTCTGCTTGTATGACATCATCTCAAAAGGGTCTTTCCACTTTCCAACGTGAAGAAGCCACCTCTATTGATCACACTGATCTCATGCTCTGTTTTCTCTCGCCAGCATTTTTCAGTCAAAATGTGCACGTGAGTTTAAATTTACTCATTTGGTATCTATCCCAGACTTTGATTTCAAGGGCTGGGGTTATGTTTGTTCTGTTCAATGTTCTTTTTCTGACACTTGTGTCAGCACCTGGTACAAGAAATAACCACAGAATAAACAGGTGCATGGATCAGTGAATATGTGGCTATATGTCTATATTTATTGAGTCAGATTTAAATGTTTTAACTCTGTATCAACCTCATCTCCAAATAAGTTTCATTTAAAAATTTTTATTTATTTATATTTTTATTTTATGCATATGAGTGTTATGCCTGCATCTGTGTAAGTGCACCCATGTGGAGCAAGTGCAGGTAGGGAAAAGAAGAGTTCATTGGACCTGTGGAGCTGGAGTTCTGAATGATTTTAGCTGCCGTATGGGTGCTGGGAATTCAACCTGGGTCCTCAGCAAGAGCAACCAGTGCTCTTAACCACAGAGCCATCTCTCTAGCCAAGCTTTGCTTATATTATATGAACTTTGATCTTTAAAACATTTATGTTTCTTCTTATAAAAATACTGTTTGTTCCAACGTTCGATTTATTAGGTGAGGGGTCAAATGTGTCAATAAGATTGTTGAGGGACAACATCACTGTTGATAGCTACTAATCTGTTTCATATCTTGCTTGTTACCTAGAAAGCTGAGGTATATGAAATACCACTTAGTTTTCACATGTTACCCTATTACCCCATTTTATATCATACATTTCACATGATAATAAATGGTTCTGTTCCTTTAAGTTCATCAATCAAGTATGTGGGGTGTAGTACCTGTTGGGCTACGTGGCTGAGCTCCGCAGCAATGTCACAGCCCGAGTTTCCCAGGCCGATCACCAGGACTCGCTTCCCCTTCCACATTCCTGGTTCCTTATAATCCCTGCTGTGGAAGCATTTGCCTTTGAAACATGTTATTCCTGAGTAAAAGTGGAAAAAATGTATGAACCAATTTGATCTTAATATTCCAAATATATGTCACAGAATGGTATTTTAATTCACCTATCTGCACTTTTGTGAAAAAAAGACATTGAATTGGTTTTGGCATGGCTTTAGTATGTCTCCCAGAGGTTCAGGTGCTAGTAGCTTTGTCCCTAGTGTAGTGGTACTGAGGTGTAAAGATATACCTTTAAGAGGTGGAAACAACTGGGTGGTCATTGAGGGCATCACCTTTGGAAGGGATGGTGGAGTGAGTTTAGTTACATGAGATCAGGTTACTATAAAAAGATCAAGCCTGGCTGCACCCCCAGTTGCACTTCTTGCCACGCAATCTTCCCCTTATCCACATAGCCGGTTCTCTCTTTCCACTTCTCCACCATGCCGTGATACAACAAGGAAGTCCTTGTTAGAACGTTAGCACCAGACTGTTTAAACTTTCTAGTCCATAAAATCACGAGTCAAAGTAAACCTCTTGTTATAGTTAGTTTCAACCATCATCTTGCCACAAACCTAGAGTCACCTGGGAAGAGGGAACTTCAGCTGAAGAGTTTCCTACAAAGTCCTTGTTAGAATGTTAGCACCAGACTGTTTAAACTTTCTAGTCCATAAAATCATGAGTCAAGTAAACCTCTTGTCATAATTCGTTTTAACCATCATCTTGCCACAAACCTAGAGTCACCTGGGAAGAGGGAACTTCAGCTGAAGAGTTTCCTACCTCAGATTGGCCTGTGAGCATTTCTGTGGGCACATTTTCTTGATTGTTAATTCTTATAGAAGGATCCAGTTGACTGTGGACAGTGCCATCCCTAGGCAGGTGGGCCTGGGCTGTATAAGAAAAGTAGCTGAGAAAGCTAGGGGAGGCAAGCCCGTAAGCGGCATTCCTCCATGGTCTCTGCTTCCTTCCCTGAGCTCCTGCTCACGATGATAATCTGTCAGCCAAATAAACCCTTTCCTCCCCAAGCTGATTTTGGTTGATGTTTTATCAAAGCAGAAGGGAACAAACTAAGATACATCTTTACAATGAATTAATCTTCAGGTATTGTGTTTAGAGCATCAGGAAACAGACTAACATAGACATCACAAATATATTTATTCTTGATAGAGTGTACATGGCTTCCTAAATTTCAGCCTTACCTGGAAAGGACTCTTTTGGTAGATGGGGGTATACATGATGCCCAGAACAAATCATTACAGCATCGAAGACAGCTGATTCTTTTTGACCACCTTTTTCAGTGATAATTTCCCATTGGCCAGTAGTTGAGAAATCAGGACGTTTATTTACACTGGATACAAGTGTCTAGGAAGAATGTAGAGAGAAAGCCTTCTTACTATGCTAAGAGGTAGATTCTTCTTAAGAAAAACAATTCATTAGTAAGAACATTACATTACATATGTACATATAAGTACACATGTGTATACATATGCATAGCTTCTTGGGCATGTCCATTGTTTTCTGCGGTACAATCGCAATTCCTTTTGGAAACCAGTCATAGTTTAAAAGGTGCACACCACATAGGAGTAATCTGGTAGCCAATGTTTTTTTTTTTTTTTACTGTAACAGCCATCTCCTGAACCTGACATATAGAAGGGATCCAGAGATCTGGAGTTAATAAACTGAAGATTAAAACTGACAAAGAAAATGCTGAAGTGAAATTTAAAGATTTTCTTCTGTCCTTGAAGACTATGATGTTTTCCGAAGACGAGGTTCTTTATGCTGCAGACCTGCTGAAGGAGAAGTCTGGTGTGATACAGGATGCTTTCAAGAACTCAAGTAAAGGAGAATTGACTGCACTTCTGCATCAGCTTCAGGAGAAGGACAGGTTGCTTACCGCTCTGAAGGAAGATGCTGCTGCCACAAAGGATTGCTGTAAGCAGTCAACTCAGGAAATGATGACAGAGAAAGAAAGAAGCAGTGTAGTTACAGCAAGAATGAAAGATCGGATCAGAACATTAGAAAAGGAAAACAACGTATTTCAAAACAGAATGCATATCGGTTACCAAGAGACCCAGCAGATGCAGAGGAAGTTTCAAGTTCGAGAACAAATGGAAGTAGAGATAGCTCACTTGAAGCAGGAAAATGAAATATTGAGAGATGCTGTCAGCAACACCACAAACCAACTGGAAAGCAAGCAGTCTGCAGAACTAAATAAACTGCGCCAGGATTGTGGAAGGTTGGTGAGTGAGCTGAGTGAGAAGACAGGCGAGCTACAGCAAGAGGAAGTCCAGAAGAAGAGTGCTGAGCAAGCCGTCACCCAGTCGAAGGTTCGATTACAAGAAGCTGAGAGGAGGTGGGAAGAAGTTCAGAGCTACATCAGGAAGAGAACTGCAGAGCACGAGGCAGCGCAGCAAGATTTACAGAGTAAATTTGAGGCCAAAGAAAATGAAGTAAGAGTCTGCATAGTAAACTTACAGATACCTTGGTATCAAAACAGCAGTTGGAGCAAAGGCTAATGTAGTTAATGAAATCTGAGCGAAAAAAGGTGGACAAAGAAGAGTCTCTACAAATGCAAGTTCTGGATATTTCAGAGCAAAATTAACCTTTGAAAGCTCAGATTCAACAATTCCATTCCCAGATGGCAGCCCAGACTGCTTCATTTCTAGTAGAAGAATTACATAAAGTGATTGCAGAAAAGGACAAGCGGATAAAACGGACTGAAGATTCCTTAGCCAATGAACATGATCACTTGCCAAGAGGAAGAACTTAAGGTTATACAGAATATGAATTTCTTATTAAAAGCCGAACTGCAGAAGTTACAGGCCCTGGCTAATAAACAGGCTGCTGCAGCACATGAAATGGAAAAAAAAAGGATTCATGTTAAGGATGATAAAATAAGATTGCCAGAAAAGCAGCTACAGCATGAAATTTCAAACAAAATGGAAGAATTTAAGATTCTGAATGACCAAAATAAAGCATTAAAATTAGAAGTTCGGAAGCTACAGACTCTTGTTTCTGAACAGCCTAATAAAGATGTTATGGAACAAATGGAAAATATATTCGAGAAAAAGATGAAAAATTAAAGACTGTAGAAGAATTACTTGAAACTGGACTTATTCAGGTGGCCACTGAAGAGGAGGAACTGAATGCCTTAAGAACAGAAAACAAATCCCTGTCAAAAGAAGGCCAAGCAAAGTGACCAGGTTTCTTTTGTATCTCTAATTGAAGAACTTAGGAGAGTGATCCATGAGAAAGATGGAAAGATCAAGTCTATGGAAGAGCTTCTAGAAGCTGAGCTTCTCAAAGTTCCTAATAAGGAGAAAACTGTTCAGACTTTGAAATAGGAAACAGAGATTCTGAAAGAAGAAATAGGAAATGCCCAGCATGAAAAGGCTCAAGTTATGTCACTTCCCAAGTTCAAGAGCTTCAGAAGTTATTAAAAGGAAAAGAACAGAAGAATACCTTGAAGGCTGTTTTAGAAGACAAGGAGAAAGACCTAACCAATACAGAGAAATGGATACAGGATCTTCAAGAAGAAAATCAATCTTTAAAGGCTCACGTTCAGGAAGTAGCACATCATAATTTACAAGAGGTGTGTTTGGCACCACGATTTGAAGAAGTTGAAATTGTGTTTATAGAAAAGGAAAATGAAATGAGAATAGAAGCTGTACTAAAAAACACAGAGAGTGATCTTTCTATCAAAACAAAGTTGTTACAGGAGGTACAAGATTGTCCCCCAGGTGATTAGTTCTTCCAAGGGGCGGTGCCTACCATGGAGGAGGGACTACTGGGGGGCTGCTGTGAGCCATCTTGGAATGGAAGCCAGGAGCCAGGAGGAACACATGTGGCAGTGGGTGTGGAGAGAGAGATGGCCCTGGTGCCTCACCCACATGGATCGAGGGGACATTTACAGACCTGAGAGAGACTATGGCCCAAGATGCATGGGCGAGAGTTAACAGGGACTATAGGCAGGCTGTGGGAGCATCTGACCTGGTGGGCTCTGAGCCGCAGTACAAGAGTGCTTGTCGACTACTATCCTCAGGCCTCTTGGGAGCAACTCAGTCCCTCTTCTTGGGCTCCAGGAGCACCGCTTCTGGTCCT